GGTTGTGGTGTACCTGCTAGGCAAGATGTATGTGGCCAATGCAGGTGACAGCAGGTGAGTGGGGAGAGGGCTTTGAAAGTGGCCACGCACAGGGTCATACTCTCAGGATGATGGGAAAGCAGAGTGAGGTGGTGGTGGGTCAAGTATAAAAGATTGGAGGGATGGGAAGGGCAGCGACAGCTGTAAGACAAGGCTGGAAATATCTACAAGGGAAGGAAAGGCGAGGACCTGAGTGAAGAATCATCAGGTTCATTATGGGGAGGGCCCAGTCCTTTTGGAATTCTCCATGGAGGGTCTGGGAAAGCCAGATCCAAGCCTTGTCTGTCTCTGGGCAGGGCCATCATTATCCGGAATGGTGCCATCATTCCAATGTCCAGGGAGTTCACACCAGAGACGGAGCGCCAGCGTCTTCAGCTGCTTGTAAGTAGGGGCCTAACTGGAGACCCCAGTCTTACTCTTACATCTCTCCCTACGGAAAGCTTCCTTCTGGGAACTTCCTGGGAAGGTGCTGAGTAGACTATGGAGTGCTCGGTGAGCTGGAGGGATGAAGCAGGAGCAATGAGCCTGAGCTGCCACTGTAGCCCACGTTGAGGAAGTGAGTCAACAAAGGCTGCATCGTAGTGAGTCCTAGTGTGGGCATCGGGATTGCCTGGGGTTGAATCCTGCTTTGTGTAATTATATGACTTCTGACAAGTCCCTTATTCAATGGTTCGTGCTTCACAGGCCTTTGTGAAGGGTGAGTTTATGTTACTATTAGAGGGGTGTGTAGCCTGCAGTAAACTTAATTTAAGGGTCGGCTATAATTTAACAGTTATATGTTGTATCTGGGTGTAATGCCCATTCTCCTGTCTGGCCCTTCCCAACTCAGGGCTTCCTGAAACCAGAACTGCTAGGCAGTGAGTTCACTCACCTTGAGTTTCCCAGAAGAGTTCAGCCCAAGGAGCTGGGGCAGAGGATGCTGTACAGGGACCAGAATATGACTGGCTGGTAAGACTTCCCTCAGAGCTGGGGCCGTTCCCATGGCAATGCATCCAGTCCTTCACCAGCAGCAAAGTGGCAGCTGCAGGCTGGGTCAGACTGGGAGCTGGGGAGTATGGCCATTCCCTGGAAGGCCTTGTGTGGGAGTGTGCTGTTTGTGGGGGATAAGGACTTTGCCACCTGGGTGATACCTCCTCTACTCCTCCCTCCCCAGGGCCTACAAAAAGATTGAGTTGGAGGATCTCAGGTTTCCTCTGATCTGTGGGGAGGGCAAAAAGGTAAACCCTGTGGCAGAGGGGGGAGGGCAGGAAGAACCACCACAGCTCGTCCAGGGAGGTGGAGGTTTCACCGAACAGTAGGTGTGGGAGGGTTCTCTGGTTTCGGTGAGTCTGAGAAAGGAACTAAATAGCATCGTTCTTTCTCATTTCCCTCAGGCCCGGGTAATGGCTACCATCGGGGTGACCCGAGGCTTGGGAGACCACAACCTTAAGGTCTGCAGTTCCACCCTGCCCATCAAGCCTTTCCTCTCCTGCTTCCCCGAGGTGAGCACACCTTTCCTTCAGGATGCTCAGGCCGGCTTTTACCCCTTTATCTCTTCCCTGACCAGCAACCCTCACACCTCAGACCTTACTTCCTTCTTTCCCTACCAGGTACGAGTGTATGACCTGACACAGTATGAGCATTGTCCAGATGATGTGCTAGTCCTGGGAACAGATGGCTTGTGGGATGTGACCAGTGACTGTGAGGTAGCCGCCACTGTGGACAGGGTGCTATCAGCCTATGAGCCCAATGATCCCAGCAGGTAGGGGGTTGCCTGGCAAGGTGTTGGGGGGTTAGCACAGAAGGGGCGAAGGGGAACAAAGCCTGGAGACCCACATGTGGGCCTGTATCTCTGTCTTCTCATATGCGTGTCGGTACATGAATGTGCACATGTGCTCCTGGCAGGTATACAGCTCTGGCCCAAGCTCTGGTCCTGGGGGCCCGGGGCATCCCCCGGGACCGTGGCTGGCGTCTCCCCAACAACAAGCTGGGTTCCGGGGATGACATCTCGGTCTTCGTCATCCCCCTGGGAGGGCCAGGCAGTTACTCCTGATGGGCTCAGCCCCAACCCCCTCATTGCCATCTCTGCCTCTCCATACTTACCCTTCTCCAAGTCCAAATACCGAAGTTGTGTGTCCCCCCCACTCGAGTGGCTATTTAATTGACAAAGGGACGCCCACTAGATCCAGAATTACAGCAACTGACAAATAAACCGGATGGATAAAGGTGTGTGTCATTATTCACTTTGACCAAAGCCTGAACAGCAGGTCGTCGATGGAAAGAACATCAGAACATTCCTAAAAATGTGGCTTCCCCAGAGTCTTCTGCTGCCCCCTTTGCCCACTCCATGTACTGTCACCGGTGGCCCCATCTGCCACATCCATCTGTGGCTTCTTCCATCCGCTGATACTCGCCAAGTCTGTGTGTCTAGCCCAAACCTTGGCCTAGCTTTAGACCCATGCATTCCAGGCATCTCCCAACCACTTCCTCCATAGCTAGTGCTCTAGTGCTTCCAATCAATTGTGAATGCACAATTCCCCCGCCAATAATTCTTCCGCTGGGTCATCTTTTTATGGGCACCATCATGGCTGCTCAAGTCAGTAATCTCAGCAGGTGCTCACAACTGGCTTATGTATCTTCATTACCATTCTCAACTACTTCAGCCGTGCAGGCCATGTAATGTTTCAGGAAATCAGCTGCCTATGTGATGGTATATGCAGTGTAACCCAGCTGTGTCCTAGGCTGTGCCATCTCAGTTTGTGTAAGTACAATGGTGAAATTCCCCAGCAACACATTGTCATAACATCTCTAATATTAAGAGATGTATGACTCCTCTGTTGACTATTTAAAGATATTTCACATTGCCTTTATCTCTGCCTCTGTCGTCACATTAGCTCTTTATTACACCAGCTTCCTAACTTCAGTTAGGACTCCTTATTATGTCTAGGACAAACTGCACTCAAAGTCCTGAGCTTGGCATACAAGGACCTTCATAATATGGTCTGGCTACTGTTTCTTTCTCCAGCTTCACCATTCCCCTCCAAACTCTGTGGGCTTGTCAGAGTTCCAACTTACTTTAAATCTCACATTACCAGTTCTTGACTATTTACCAGGTATCCCACAGCCCCTGTATGCTGCTAAGGCAGTTCCTCCAGGATTATAACTATCCACAGGAGGAGCCAGTGGGGGGTAGTTATGGAGAGCAGGGACTCTTAAGTCTGACTGTTTTGACCAAACACCACAGAAACTTGTGTGAGCCTCCATGTCTCAGTGAAATGTATGTAACAGTACTGCCTCATAAGAGCTAAAAGTAGTGTGTAGGCAAGCAAGGGTCATGTGATAAAGTTTCAATAAATGTTAGCTATGTTAGGTTGTCTGTGTTCTTTAGACTGTAAGTTACTTGAAGGCAGAAATTCATGGTTAGCATACAGCTTTCAGTTTACAGACAACCAATGCTTACTGAGTGAATTAAGAGGCCAGGGAAAAACTGCCTTTCACCACCTCAGTTGCCTGATTTACCAAATGTGTGGTTTGTGCTGTGTCTGTGGTTTGTGTCTACCTGTGTTTGAGACAGCTTTGGTAACCTTGCTCCTTCAGGAGTGCTGAGCTTACAGACAAGAGCCATAAGCTTAGCTGTACCTGCAGTAGACTCCGAATAACTTCTAACATGCATTTATTCAGCAAGTATTTGTTGAAAACTGTGGCGAGCGGAACACTGGACATGTTGGAGGAGGGGCATGGGAGGCAGTGGGGAAGCAGCAACTACCTGGGTGACCAAAGGTCTGTCTGTAAAACTGATTGGTTTTTTAAAAAATATATAGTCATAGTTTTTTGAGACAGGGTTTCTCTGTGTAGCCCTTGCTGTTCTGTTACTGACTCTGTAGACCATGCTGACCTCCAACTCACAAAGATCCACTTGCTTCTGTTTCCCTAGTGCTGGGATTAAACCACCACCATCCAGCGTTTTTTTAAGATTTATTATGTATTCGGTGTTCTGCCTGCATACATGCTTGCATACCAGAAGAGGGCATCAGATCTCATTCTAAATGGTTGTGAGCCACCATGTGGTTGCTGGGAATTGAACTCAGGACCTTTGGAAGAACAGCCAGGACTCTTAACCTCTGAGCCTGATTGATTTTTGAGACAGGATCTCATGTAGCCAAGATTTGCCTGGAATTAATTCAAAGATATCCATCCACCTCTACTCCCTATGTATCTTCATGGTCCACCACACTGTATATTTTTGTTGTCACAAATAGTTTGCCAAAGCACTTCTGTGGGCCTCCATTTCTTTACAACAAAAGGGGTTGGGTGAACTTATTCCAGGGACCTGCGTGTTTAAAGTATCCATCACTAGCAAATAAAATATTAGACTTCCTCAAACACTCACCTCCTGGGCCCTTTATAAGGAGATACAGGATCAGGTAAGTATGAAACACTAGACTGGACTCAACAGCACAATACAATAGGAGTATGAGCTCAGTTCCAGCTGGCGATGCGGAAGCACTTCCAGGAGTGTGCTCTTAGCAGGACGTAGGGAAATTCCCTGCGAAGGAAGGAAGGACCTTGTAAGGAGTCGGTGGCTGGGGACTGCAGATCGCAAAAAGCCTCCAAGGCTCGGGAAAGCGTCGTGTTACACTTAAGGCAGTGATTCCTGGAGCAGAGAGGGGGCAGCTTCTGCACAACCGGTCCCCTCGGTCACGGCTAGGGCGAAGGAGGGGCCGAAACCTCGAGGGCTGCTTGACCACGCGAGGGCAGCAGCGGCCCTCGCTGACCCCACCCTGGGAGCCGCTCAACTTTCCCGACTCGGGTCCTTCCCCCGCCGTAGGAGGCTTGGAAGTAAAAGGGCCAAGTCCTCCGGGGTCCCACCCGCTCGCTCACCGCCCGACAATCCAGACATCTCCCCTGCACGGCCCCTCCAGCTGAGCCCCACGCCCCATGCCCGGCCCGCAGCCGGGGTGACCTGCGGCCGCCCAGGGCGGGGAGCAGAGGCGGGCCGAACCAAGGGCCGCCCCCGTCGATCCCCCACCCCCACCCGCCTGGCCCGCCCCGGAGCGGCGCTGGAGAGTGGGGCGGGGTTCGGGTCAGTCTCAGCCTCCGGCACCGGCCGCGCAGCTGGAGGCAGAGGATCGGAAGGTACCGGGGCCCGAGCTGGGGGGTGGCGAGGCGTCGTGGGAACTCGACTCGGAGGAAAGCACTTTCCCGGGTTTCTGATCGCTTGGGGAAGGGCGGGGCAGGGGGCTCCGGGCCGCGCAAGGGAGAGGGCCCCGAGCTGCCGGGCAGGCGCTCTAGCCTCCTGGGCTCTCGAACCAGAGCCTCTTCCCTTTCTGAGCCCTGCCTTTCCGAACCTCCTCAGCCGGGCCAGGGACCTACTTGGATGTCTGTGAGGGACCCTACTCAACATGTTCCAGTTCCGGGAGGGGCGTAAGGAACAGGACAGGGCCTTAGGGCGGCTAGGGGAGTTCTGGCCTGGAAAGGGGAATGGCGGGAATAGGGGCGGGTGTTACTACTGGGGGCTGCCACCGCCTGGCGGGTCTGGTCGCGCCCTAGACCGCTTTTGGAACTAGTCTGAGCTAAGAGCTTGAGACGACTAGGAAAGATCCCGCTCCTGTGTTGTGTATGTCTGAGAGTGAAGAAAAAACCAAAACACCAAAATCCCAGACTCTGCCTCCTACCCTGTTAGGAGGTTTGGGAGTGTTAGGGGGTTGGGCCGAAAAGGGAGGCCCGTTTCTTCCTTCACTTCTGGCTTTAAAGTTAAGGAAAGGTGTTGCCTGAAGAGTGATTCCTTTAGTAGATCCCAGGGGTGCAGAGTACAAAGGCCTGTTGGATCACCCTGGAAACCAAGAGAATGAGAGCTGGTGTTTTGTCCCGGGGAAGGCCCCATAAGTTTCAGACCTCTCTCCAGGCCCTGCCTGAGGTTTCCTTGTCTCTCTTAGGGTCAGTGGGGCAGTTCTTCTGGCACCGCGTTTCACAGGGGAGTGTTAGCCTTGCCATTTTGGCCTTGGGCCTAATATTCTGGCTTGACTGGGGTCTTAAAGTCTTCTGGCCCAAGAAGAGGTTAGGTGCAAAAAAATCTGCCCTGAAGTTCCAGCCTCTGCCTCCTACCATGTTGCTGTGGGACAGCAAGTGGCACATGCGTGCGGAAGTGACTATTAGGTGTTGTAGTCATCACCCTCCATCAACACTGCCCACCCTGGGCTGGGGCTGTCTCATCCAGCCTGTATACAGCTGGACTAGCTAAATTAATGGGAGTAGGTGGGGGAGTTGTAAGGAATCTTGTGGGTTACCTGTATATACTCACTTTTAAAGGTGATGAGTGAATGAATGCCTTCTCAGTCTTTTGGGGTATCGGTGGTAAGTGTGGCTGTGCACACTGCTATAAATTGTCTGTGACTCATGTCCTCTTCCCTCACAACCCAGGTGTGTGTGTGTGTAGGGAAGGAGAAACCACTCAGGAGCCTGATGCTGAAAAGAATCACCCTAGGGCTAGAGTATTCTGCTTCCTAAGAGGCAGGCACAGGCCAGGATCTGAGGTGGTGGTATGTAGGGAGTCCAGCTGAGCCAGACAGGATATGGGACTGAATGGAAAAGCCAAGTTTGGGGCGGAGATCGGGTTACCATCCCTTCTTAACTGCTCCCTGCCTGGTCAAAGCTTAGTTTGATGCTCATTAGTCTTTTCTTTTGGGGCTCCTCCCAGCCCAGGCTCCAGTTCCCTCCCCTCCCCCACAGCCTTGACTCCATCTCTAACTCTGGGGCTGGTTTGGCACTATCCCTTCCCATCTGTGAAGGCCTGGGACAGGACATCAGTGGCCTGGTCAGCTTCCTTCAGCTGGGAAGGTGTGAACGGATTGTTCATCATGTGTGCTGGGGTGCAGGACACATGCAAACCCGGAGAAGCTGACTCCTTGCCTTGAGTCACAGGGAGGTGTCTGCAGGGCCTAAGGGTCAGCTGGTTTCTAGGAGGAAGGGGCTGTTCCAGAGAGTGGGTGGGGGTGATTCCCAAGTGGATTAGCTCCATCACAGCACTGCTGTGATGGATGTGTGGTGGCTCCCCACAGTGTGGTCATTGTCCCCTGTCAGGGCTGAGTGACCCAATGTTGCTGCCAGGACTGGGGTGGTGGGGGGGGCGAGCTGCCTGACCGTGAGCTGCCAGGACTGAGCCTTCTTTGTGTCTTGAGACTTTGGGGAAAGGGTGGGGTGACCAGGGAAGCCAGCTGGCTGCTCCCACTATCCTCCGACTTACTTTCTCTGCTTCTGTTGTCACCTGTGGGGTGCTGTGTAGGTTAGACAGACTGGATCTCATAGCCCACCCTGCACCTATGTGTCAGACTCTTATGTGTCTAAACCTCACGGAGCCTCAGCTTCCTTTTGTCAAAGTAGGATGGCCTGGGGTCAGGGAAATGGCTCAGTGGGCAAAGGTGCTTGCCATGTAAGTGTAAGGACCAGAGTTCAAGCCCAGGAGAGGACTATAAGCTGTCTTTTGATGTTCACATCCACCAAACAGGCAGCTGGAGATTTGAAGACTCTTCTCAAATGCCCAACAAAGCGTGTGTGTGTGTGTGTGTGTGTGTCCAGGGAGAGGTGAACACCTTGAGGCTCTACAAGTGTTCCTTGCTTTACCTTACCACCTGTAGCTGGCTTGTGACCAGGCATGTATGACTTCTATTGAGGGGCAATCTATTCTAGTTTGCATTTTAGTGATTATTAATGAGTCAAAATCCTGGTAACAAATGAAGCTGTTAGGCAAGGCAGATAAATGTAGGCCTTTTGGGGGCATACCTGAGCACTTCTCTGAGAACTTCTCAGGTGTTCAGTTTTGCACGTGAATGAGTAAGATTTAAGCCAGTATTCCCGGCTCCCACGTGTCATCATCCTCCTCCTCCTGATCACTTCTAACCCGTCCAGGAAGACCTGTTCTGACCAGCATTTCAAGGACTTTTGCCTGCAGAATTGGTTCTTGGCAAGAACATGCCTTGGCAAGCCCCCTTCCCTTCCTTTGCTGGTGCTGTGGTTTTCAGGCAGGCATGGGGCCCCTAGAGAAGTGCTTTTGGACTTACTGGATCTTTTTCTCTCAAATCCCCACAGCCTCTTGACCGCCAGTTTCAGCCATGGCTGCAATCCGAAAGAAGCTCGTGATCGTGGGTGATGGTGCCTGTGGGAAGACCTGCCTTCTCATTGTCTTCAGCAAGGATCAGTTTCCGGAGGTCTATGTCCCTACTGTATTTGAGAACTACATCGCAGACATTGAAGTGGATGGCAAGCAGGTGAAGGCCGACTTTCCTGCCCAGGAACCCTGCCCCCAGTCATGTAGGGCCCTAGTATGTCCTTTCTTGGGGCTCATGTACATCTTTGCTTCATTTCCCTGCTGGAACCAGCAGGAGTTAGGAAGTGAAACTGTAGCCCTAGAAAACCTAGATGTCCTATCTGGTTCGACCACATACTGGCTCTGGAATCCGAACCAAGTCCCTTTGCCTCTGGGCTTAACCTCTCTCCCTACTGCAAAACGTGAAGAGGGCAAGACCTACCCCAAAGGGTTGCTGTACGAATTAAATGGTGCTTACAATGGCAGCTCATACTATACAAGGATCAAACCCACCTTAGATTGTTTTTGAAGTGTATCCTTGGTTTTGTGATTGGTCAATACAGCTCAGCACATAGTGAGAGATGAAAAGATGTTCAGTAAGTTTATAGGACCAATGATTTCAGAGGACCCTGGGGTGTTAAGTTTGGGATTCTTGGGCTAGCTAATCAGTAGCCCTATATATCAGGTGGAGCTGGCTCTGTGGGACACAGCAGGGCAAGAAGACTATGATCGCCTGCGGCCTCTGTCCTACCCGGACACTGATGTCATCCTCATGTGTTTCTCCATTGACAGTCCTGACAGCCTGGGTAAGGCTTTGGAGGAGGGGTAAAGGGCATTTGGTTAACTGCCATCTTAAGAGGCTGTGTCGAGGTAGTGTTGGGAGCATGTAGGCCCTGTAGATCTCCTTTGCTATGGAGACAATAGCCCTTCGAGTGGGTGGGAAGATCCACTACAAGGAGTGTTGAGCTGTGCAAGGGTAGTGCCTGTTCAATAGCGTCTGTGACCGCTGTGGAAGACGGGGCTTCTGATGCTGTGGGTACACCTACATCTTTTGGGATATCTCTGCAGAAAACATTCCTGAGAAGTGGACCCCAGAGGTGAAGCACTTTTGTCCCAATGTGCCCATCATCCTCGTGGGGAATAAAAAGGATCTGAGGCAAGATGAGCACACCAGAAGAGAGCTGGCCAAGATGAAACAGGTGTGTGGGGCAGTCTTTGCGGGAGGAAAGGCCTTTGAGGGTCAGAAACTGCGATGGGAACCGACAGCCAGCCTTAGCCTTAGAAGGGACTGTGATGTTCACCTGCCATCCTGCATGTTGGGAGAACTAGAGAAGTTACTTGTCCAAGGGCATTTAAAGAAAAAACAGCTTATTCCAGCTTACGGTCTGTTCTGTCTTTGGAGTTGGAGCAACTAAGATAAATGAAGAGCCATCCTCATCCTCAGGGGACAGCTGTGTCAAGAGTGCCCTGGGAGGGAGGGCGATTTCAGTGGGAGGGGAGGGCGATTTCAGTGGCTGGAGGAAAGGCTCAGGGATGTGCAAGAAAGACTTGCTAAATGAGTCTAGCCAGAGGACGATTTTATTTAGAGGAAGGTAAGGAAGGTAGGCTATCTTGGTAGGATGATTAAGGTTTTAACTGTGGACAGATGTCCAGTCTGTATGTTAGTAAAAATATTCTGCTCGCCACATAGAATGGACTAGAGCAGTGGTTCTCAACCGGTGGGTTACGACCCCTTTGGGGGGGTTCCATATCAGTCATTTACATCATGGTTCATAACAGTAGCAAAATTGGTTATGAAGTAGCAATGAAATAACTTTATGGTTGTGAATCACCACAGCATGAGGAACTATATGAAAGCTGAGAACCAGTGGGCTAGAGGAAAATGAGGTCAGTTGGGCAGTGGGCACTTGTTTAGAGGAGAAATGGGTGCTGTAGGAATAAGGCTGGGTGGGAGGAGAGAAGACAGAATTCTGAAATGGCAGCTTGGGTCTTATGGCCCCAACCTGGAAACTGCCTGTGGTAGCCAGGACCTTGGTGTCCAGCAGGGCCAGTCTGCAGGGTATGCAGGATGTGCATTTGCCCCTGCTTTTTTTTTTGGGGGGGGGCTTCTTTTGACTCCATATCTTGTCTTTTCAGGAGCCCGTTCGATCTGAGGAAGGCCGGGACATGGCAAACAGGATCAGTGCCTTTGGCTACCTTGAATGCTCAGCCAAGACTAAAGAAGGGGTGCGGGAGGTGTTTGAGATGGCCACTCGCGCTGGCCTGCAGGTCCGAAAGAATAAGCGCCGGAGGGGCTGTCCCATTCTCTGAGTTTCCGAGGTCTCTCCAATTTCCCCTCCCTCCCTCCCTCTCACAGGGGTACAAATTACCCCCATCCCACTCCACCCTTGTAGGACTTCATGCTGCCAGTTTCTCTTTTTGGTTCCTTCCTGCCCAGGACTGCATGAGTTTCCCCAGCCCCAAGTGGGGGCTGGTAGGCCCTTTCCTCCCTGCCTCTGGGAACCAGGCTGGTGCCCTGCCCTTCCTGCGCAGGGCCCCTCCTCCTGCTGCGTGGGTCCAGGAGTAGGGCTCTTAGTCCCTGGGCCTTCCCCATATCACACACCAGCACTTTATATATTTCTGGCTCACAGGAGTCTGGGGTAGGGACCGGGATTTCTGCTTTGGGTAGTAGCCTCGACTTGGTGGGAGGGCAGGACATTAATAAAGGTCAAAGGTTGCACCACGTGTGGCAGCTTCCTGTCTCTCCTGGCCTACCTTGGCTCTGAGCCTGGAGTCCCATCTTTTCCTCTTCATTTCCAAGTTGCTGGGCTGGGCCCTGTCTGCAGAGGCAGGGCTGGGGGCGGAGGCAGCAGGGGACAGGGTGGAGTCTACAGTAAAGGATGAGGTCATATTTGGCTGGCTGCCTGGGTGGGTGAGGGGAGTGGTCTGTACCGTTGGCTAAACATAGAAGCCCTGTGGGTGGCTTCCCTGTCACTGAGTTTCCTGTCCTACACGTTGTTATGAAGGGGTGTGGCTCTGGACAGATAACCCTCCTGGAGGGTCAGCTTGGGGGCATAGGAAGCAAGGCCCGGCTGAGGAGACGTAAGTAAGAGACTTTTGCATAGAATGGCATTTTGTTTTCTTAAAGCAGCTCAGGGACAGACTGCTTGCCTAGCATACTCGAGGCTGTGGGTTCAATCCCCAGTACTGCAAAGGAGAGGGGAAAAGCTTTCCTTCCTCCCCCTTCCTCCAAGTTTTAGCAGCTTGGGTTATTTTCCCTAGCAGAGGAAGGGGTGGAGCGGTTTGGGCTGTAAACTTCCCAGCCTTCCTGTCTCTTGCAGGGACAGGTGAGCTGGGCTCTGGGTCAGGGATAGGCAGCAATAAGGCTTGGCTGGTGTGAGAAGGTGGGCAGCTGTCTCTTCAGAGTTCATTTCTCCACTCTGGCTCCACTTGTAAGGGCAGGCCCTCTTCACCCTCCCTCTCCTGGGGGAGATGATGGTGACGCCGGGACCCTACCAAGAAAAGGAGTCCTGGGTATTTTTGCCTCTTCTTCCCACAGCTCCCCTGCCCAGCCCACCATGGCCCATCCATACCTGAGGTAGAGGGGCTGAGTTTGCTCAGGCCTTGGAGTAAGTCCTGCCCCTGCTGCAGGTCCAGTTTAGCAGGAAAGGGGCATCCAGTATACCCGCCGTTTTCTTTACAGAACTCCAGGAACCTGTGGGGTACAGGGACAGTGACATAGGAGGCTGTGCAGGCTTGGCTGAGGAACAGAGGCAGAAGGTAGAGTGTTCAGCCTCACTAACTCAGGGTGGGCATCGTGAACACCAACAGAACTGAGGACTAACGGAGTATAAGTGGGTGCTTCCTAAAGACATCTGCCCTAGCCTGGGGCTCGTAGTCACCAAGAGCAATTAGGGGGTGGGAGTGAGTGCTTACGTTTTCCAATCTGGGTCATGGCCTAGGAGGAGGGGGTTGCCCACTACGATGAGCAGAGCCTTGGCCCGGGTCACAGCCACGTTGAACCTCTGGAAGGAAGAAGTGATGATGTCATGGAAGGGACAGGCTCCGAGGAAGGATTCATGCCACCCACAAGCCTGCCAACCTTGGGGTTCTTAAGGAAACCGAGGTTGAAGTCCAGGTCCAGCTGCACAAAGCTCTGGCTGCTTCGGACGGTGGAGATGAGGATGACACTTCGTTCTTGCCCTTGAAATTCTTCCACAGAGCCCACCTAGAGAGCAGAAGCCGGTCTGAAGACCAGTCAGGCCTAAGAGGGACCATGGGGGCAAAGCTGCCAGGAAGGTACAAACAAGTCCCTGGTCCCTTATAGCTAAATGAGAGGGGTGCAGGGCCAGGAAGAGGGCAGGAGGCCTGCCTGCTGTAGAACAGAGCCAGTTACAGGATGGGCCTGGAAAGCAAATCAAGTGGCAGGCCCTTCCAAGCAAGCACTGAGCGGAGTTCCTGTCCCTGGAGAGTCACTAATTTGGTCAGAATTTCCAAAGGAGAGGCCTGTGGATCATAAAGCAGTGGTTTTCAACCCTGGCTCCACACATCAGAACCACCTGTGGAACTTAAAAAAAAAAAAGGAAAAAAAAAAATCTGGGCGGTGATGGCATTTATAATCCCAGCACTCGGGAGGCAGAGACAGCCTAATCTCTTCAGTGTGAGGCCTGCCTGGGCTACAGAGCAAAGACCCTATCTTGAAAAGCAAAAATAAATAATAAAATAATTAACAAGAAAACCCACCCTGGCTTTTCCTCTAGACAGCTATGCTAATTGGCTGGGTGGGGCCCAAACAGTGGCATTATTAAAGTTCTCCAAGTGATTTTTATCTGAATCAGTGTTGAGCCATTCCTTCAGTTGAAGAGTTAAGTCACAGAGGGAGCGAGGACACAGAGTCACATGACAGGCAGGGTTGGTTAGAGGACTTCATCCTTAGGGCAGAAGCCACACACCTGACTGATAAGAAAGACAGGGTGCTTGTTAAACAGGCAGGCCTCCAGGTTCCATCTCAGAACCATCTGGGGAAACCCCAGTTTCATTTTGAGGAAAGTGGGTGGGACAGGACACAACAAGGATGAGGTCAGAGGCACGTGGAAGGCTGGGAGAGAATGTGGGATGAATGTCACCTTCAAATCCTTAATGTCATCCAGTCCTCGAAGTTCCCGGTCAAGTTTGGTGATGCAGTAGCGGATTTTTTCTACCTGGAAGGGAGGACATAGGTGCCTTTCTCTCATGCCGTCACCATCACACAGAGGGAGGTAGAGGCAGCCAGGGTGCTGGCGGGCAAAGAGGGAAGTCCTAGTCTTGGACTGAGGGCCTGACCTGCTTCCGGTATGGGGAGATGATGCCCACACTCCGGGGGCTCAGGCGGGCTTTACCCTTCTTGGAGGAAGGGGCCAGGAGCTGTTTCAAGTATGAAGTCACTGTGGCAGCCTCTTCAGGGTTGAAGAAGGATGGGCTATTGCCTTCTCGCTCATCTTTGCCCATTACACCATGGAAAATGATGGGAAAGCCCTGGACACAAAGTGAGAGAAAACCCTCAGGCTGATCTCCCTGCCTCCCTGCCCTCCAACCCAGCTAGGCAATCGGGGGTTCCAGACAAACAGAACAAGGGAGTCAGGGTCCAGGGATGGAGCCCTGCCCTACTAGGCCTCACCTGTTGAGGCAGCCCCTCCCAGCGGCAGAACCGTTCTCGGTCCACCACATCTGCACAGGCCTGCAGCTCTCCATCATAGTACAGCTGGTTAGGGATGTCCAGGATGGTGGGGTGAGACCTAGGAGGCAGGAGGAGAAAGAACAAGATCAAGGCCCTTTAGCCCTGCTCCATGTGTTCTGGCCAAATATGGTTCTAATAAGCAATCAGGCTGAGGCTCTCACTGACCCGCCAAGTTCCTTTTAAAAACCAAGAAATTAGGACCCATTCTCAGGCTTTAGTTTACTGAACAAAAACTCCAGAAATAAATTATCATCACCATTTAATTAGGTGAAACCCCCAAATGTAAGTGTCGACACAAAAGCATTTACAGAACTTTTACAGTTGCCGCTGTGTGGTGTGGGTGACATGCTCTGCTGTGTGTGGGGGTCAGAGGACACCTTTGTGGAGTCAGCTCTCTCCTTCCACCAAAAGTGGGTTCACGGGTTTGGGAAATCCTGCTTAGGCTGCTAGGTGTGTGTTCACCAAGTACTTTTACCCATTGAGCCATCACAGCCCTGCCATTTTGAGATGATGGCTGACTGTATAGCCCAGGCTAGCCTTTAAACTCTGAATCCTCCTGTCTCCCTCAACCTCCAAATGCTGGGATTACAAGCATGTGCAACCACAACCCAGCTCACATTTACTCAACTCTTACAAGATCTTTATTCTTTTTAATTGTGTGTGTGTGTGTGTGTGTGTGTGTGTGTGTGTGTGTGTGTTTTGGGGGATATGCAGGTGACAATGGAGGCCAAAGGTGTCAGATCCCCTTGGAGGTAGAGTTAGAGGAGCCTGAGCCACCTGATATGGGTGCTAAACATGGGTCCTCTTCAACACTTTTAAGTGCTGAGACATTTGTGCAGCCCCAGATTTACCAAACTCTCATTGACTGTCTAGAACTCACCTAAGCACTAGAAGGAATTCGTAAAATGGTAAGGGTGCTATGAACCTACTGCACTAGCTACTCAGGAGGCCGAGGCAGGATTGCTTGAGCCAAGAGTCAACATCAGCCTAGGAAACAGGCAGAGTTGGTCTCAAAGGGGAGAGGAGAGTTGGGGATGTACATTAGTGGTAGAACACTTGAAAGCAACATGCAAGGTCCTGGGCTCAAGTCCCAGCACCCCACAAAAATAAAAAGCACAAGCGAATAGGCCTCAGCTGTGTATATAATTAAGCTAACAATGGTTTTAAGGAAAAACTTACACTCCCTGCCTTTCTTTTGTTCTTGTTGGATTGCCTAGAAACTCAGACCCATCCAGACACATTCTGGTCTGATGATCTCTAATATGCAGATAAACCATTGGTATGAGGAGCAGCTGCCTGCTAAGTCATGAGACAAGTAGCTACAAGGGGGTTACCAAGGAGACCCCCTCTTCCAGCTGACAAGCAGCAGAGGAGGGCAGCGATACCTGTAGTTGCGGAGCAGTTTGGTGATGAACTGGGGGTCATAGCCATTGGGGCCCTTCTTGTATAGGGAGTTGTAGGTGAGCAGGCGCTCCAGCAGAGAGTAGCCAAGTCCATGCTTCTGTGCCAGTGGTGAACGGAGCACAGGCCCCAGCTGCCTCGGGTCTCCTGCCAGCACCAGCTGCCCTCCTGGATTGCCTGTTTCCTTGACATCCATCAGTCCTGAGAGGCATGGGGAGAAAGGTTAAATGGCAGGACTTACCCAGCTGGTGTGGGGTGGTGTACCTACAGCCCATCCTGAGCCCCCTCACCTGCTATGGCCACCAGACTCTCAGGCTCCATGCAGTGGCCAGCCTCATCGATGAAGATGTGTGTGAAGTGATCGATGGGAAACTGGGCTGACACCAACCTGGGAGTGTCAGGCCAAGCAGGGGTCATTCCCAGGCACCCAACTACCAAACCTGAACTCTGGCCCTTCATTTTACCCTGCCCTCAGGAACCCTTCCTCTTTCCCTAGTCCTATACCCCTTTACTTTTTACTAACAAGTGAGAAAGAAATCCTATGCATCCCTTACCTGCTGGCAGTGATGAGGGTGGTAATTAAGACACGATATTGCTGGAGATGCTTCTTGGCAGGATATACATAC